ACAGTCTTTGCGACAAAGGGTTACAAGAAAATCTGTAGTCTTGTCACTGACTTTAGGTAGGATCAATTTAGTGTACCTTTAGCCATCAATACTTCGACATTTGTTATTTGAATGGAATGGAAGTTTTATACATTTAAATATTATGATAAAAACTAGTGCAAATGTATTTTTTTGATCAAGCTTTTAGACTAAAAATAGAAAAATTGTTTGTAATATCACTTAGTGAAAATTATTCCAAAGACAGAACTGTTTAAAGGTGCGAATTACGCAGTACTACAGTACGTTTAAAAAAATCTGACCAAACAGCTGTTTCGAGTATTACCAAATACCCATCATTAGTAACATACTCTTGAAAATACTTCTTGTATTTATTTATTCGTAAATAACTTATATTGAGACTGCAAGTACCAGGAATCGAACTCGTGCCCTGCCAAATTTGAAGCTCAGAGTCAGCGCTTCTTAACCAACTGACTCAACGCCGTACTTTTTTATGTTCGCAAATTTTTCTGGAGTTTTGTTAATTGGCTGTGAAAGTTTTATTAACAAATTCAGTTGCTGTGTTTATATTAGAAAACTTTAATTTAGTCATAATTCGCACACGGCCTAGCTTTATTAATGTTAAATTGCTATGTGGCTTCCACATTCTAAGATGGGGAAATGTAGTTGACTATTTAATTCACCAGTGAATAAATACAAAAACGAAATGTATCAGAAAAGTTTGACCAAATCTGAATAATATTAATTGCACTTTAACCATTTCAAAGAATAACTGAATCAAGTCTATTAAAAACCGTTTCCCAACATGAAACGTCAGTAGTCTCTTCTGTCAGTAGCTCAACAAACTAACTTTTAATTGCACTGCATAATATTTATTCACTGATTCACCCCTCATAATTACGTATCTAAGTATCTACGTATGTGCAAGTATATGTAGTATGTATTAAAAAATGTATCTACAGAAGTAATTGTTTTTATACTACGCATACGTGTAGTTTTTAAGTAATTTTTTGTGTGACTCAGACAATAATTCATTCATTCATTCATTTATTAATTAAAAGACTAAGAATTTCAATGCCATAAATGCTGTAGTTGATTAGTAAAATATGAAACACAGCTTTTGTAAGTGAAATGAAAATTAAAATTTATTTAATTTTAAAAATAAACTTCTCTGATAATAAAATTATAAATATGTTGTTTTATAATCTAATTAAAAATTACTACAGTAATTGTCTTAAGTTGACCTTCACACTGACATCTGTTTTGTTGCAATTTCGTTAAAAAATTCTTATTATTAAATAATAAAATTTTTATATAAATTAGTGTGGTTAATTCTATGGACTCATATTTGAAATATTTCAGTAACCCTTGGATATTGTTAATTAATTTGGATAAAAAACAGCTTCAAACACTACTATTCACCAGCTAAAAATTGCACAAAGCCAGCTCTGCCAGTTCGGCATAAAAGATTTTATATCATTCCTACACAATGATAAGCACTGATACATAAGATAATGCACAATTTTCTTCTCATCCGCAAACCCATAACACTGACAAAAGTAATTAGAATGTAAGTTAAGTCTTGTTGCAAACTCTAATAAAACTCAGTTCCGATATCACAGTGCTGAGTTGATTCCGCTGTAGTTAAAGTATCTAACTTCGCCTTTACAAACAATCTTGCAATTGCAATTTTAAGCTCATTCATATACTAAATTGTATTGTAGTACCATGGTTATTAGAACGAACGACATCCTCAGGGACCTCAGGATAGAGCCCTGAAACTATTTACGAAAACTGACAGGCTTACCAACACCGCGTTATCGAATCTCAGAATGGTTACAGGCTCCTCGGGGAGCTATGCAGATCTGAGGTTGGTTATTGCTTAGTCTGGTGAAGCGATAAACAATAATCCAGTCAAGGCGTAAAGAGGGGTTATGAAGAAACCTTGCAGTTAAAAAAGAGTATAAGTGCTTAAGTGCACTATCTCAAAATAGCTGCAACATAATGATTTAGGTAACAGTAAAGAGCAGGGACACAAAACATAGTTATATAGATCCCTCATGATAGTTTTTAAAAATATCAATCCATTTTTTTCCGGTTTAATATATGAAGAATGTGAAATTGAAAGTAACAGACAAATAATAACACTACAAACTGAATCCACTAAAAAGTAAATTCCATTTCTTTGAATCTAACTTTTAGTAATGGGTTAGAAAGAAAATATATGAAAATATATGAAAGATAGGGGAGCAAGGAAAATATATTGCATCCAACAAACTATGTTTTGATAGTAACAGAAGAAGACGAGGACGGTAATTATAGCATCTTTGCCTTTTAATATTTTGTTCTAAATTTGAAAAGATAAAAAAAGCATAATTAGTATATTACAAAGACCGATAAGTCTTTGTGCTTTTCAATTGAGATCTCATAATTTATCACAAGTCCCTGATGACAATGACTAAAAAATATAAACTACACTCAAAAATTACTTGCTCATCCTATACATTTTCCAGATCTTGCTATTATCTGTTCATTGTCTGACATTAGGAGGTCCTCAACAGCTGACATTCTGGCTTTAACTTGGAAGGCGGAAAGTGTTCTGTTCAGTTAGGGCCTGTTGCAGCACAAAATATCAGTTAGGAGTTGGTACCTTGTTTATAGATATATCTGTCCAAAAGCCTAATAGACTATATATGTCTATGTGTTGATAAATTTTTCAATTAGTAACACTTTATAATTTTGGAAGCACATTGAAGTGTTGTATTATAAGCATTAGATCTACTTTATTATCAGTTACCATTCACTTTATTATCATTACCATCAGTATGCACTATTTTTTAAAAACTACATTTAAATATT